ACGCTCAAAAATCCGAGTTTCTCTGTCTCTCCCCATCTCGCTTCGCTTCCCCTTCCAAACACGATCTCCCACTATATTCCTATTATGATACCAAGCATTGTAATGTAGTTTCTTGGTTCGTGTACTCTGGTTTTTATTCTCTCTCATTTGCCGTCTTTTTCTATTGCGGCTTGATAATTAATGAGTTTCTTACCTTCAGCTGACGTGCGATGATTTCTTTCCGTCTCGTTCTTTGTTATTCCCTCTTTCACGTGAATACATGGTGGGACTCGGTGTAGGGATAGTTTGGGACGCAAAAATCCATGTCAACCACCTGAGTGATTGTTTGATCAGGTTGCAATTTGTGTGTTTGCTTTTAGTTTCATCAGGACCTCAGAACATCTGGCTTACCGACCTATTCAAGAAGAAGCTTACAAGGAATTCTCCTATCCCTTGAACTTGGATGATACTGTTGGCTTCCACAGATGGTTACAACCGGCTTTCTACAAAGGATCATTTTTACTTTTATTCTCAGCGTGTCTTTAGTCGTATTTCTGGTATTTGCATACTTTAAAAAATTGTGAGTTTCGGGATTCTGAGTTATTCTTTAGACAGCGATCCATTGGTATCAGGCTAGGAATTCAGGAGGTACCGGAGACTTCTCCATACCCTGAGATGAAAACCCGCAAGATCACAAATAATTGTATTATTACTCGATTTCATACTTTCGATCATGGAGACTCTTGTGAGTTATATTTTCCCTTAACTATGGCAGTAACCTTTCAGTTGAATGTCTCTTCTTTATCGGAGTCTAGATGCTGCGTTCTCAGTGATATTCCCATAGAGGAGCTTCACCATTTTCTGCTTGCAGACCACAATCTTTTGCTGAATTTCTGTAAGGCAAACTCTACCCTCACACTCTCAATCTCGTGAGCGATCGCCGCTACGAATTCATGCACTTTAGTTCTGGAAACAGCGAACTTGCTTTTGAGGTTGATAAGTCACTATCTTCAAAAAACTATGCCGACAAAAGATTCCACTGCCCGATACTTCTTGCTGTGATATCGGATTCTGTGGGGATCGATGAACAAATCGTAAGTGAGATCGTCGAACTTTTATTAGGCACATCATGAACTTCACAGTTTTGGTTCACTTGACACTAGTCAGTCACTTACTGACTTCTATTTGTTCCTCGACAATGTCCCGTTGCATCAATGTCACTTGGTTTCACTCACCAACTTTCACTGTTGTCTAGTTACATCTGTCAACGGCCTTCGGCTTTCATAAACTCCAGTGTACCGAGCTGTCATTTCGAATAAAACAATTCAACCCGTCCTCTCCCAGCTGTACATCCATTAGGTGATATCAAGCTTAACAGTTGCTTCCTTCGGTTCATATAACTGGTTTTGTCTAAAACACTATTAATCACTTCACTGTGTTCCTCGCGGCACTTGTCTGTTTTTACTAATGGGCTTATGGTTGTCGAGTTCGTGTCGCTGACTGTCGTGGGTCATTCGGAGTCTAACTCCAGTAGTTAAAGTTAAGTGACTACTGAATGGTTTAGCCACCAGCGATAACAAGGCAGAGCAGTTGACGGGGATGTGGCTTCACGCATGTACTCAGTATGTATGCTCCGTAATATGACAAGTTGGGCTTCAATATATACGGAAAATATTGCTAGGATTATTTTTCGGCGATAGACATACTTTGGTGATCTAAAAAATTCCCATTTTTCCAATGTTTATATGGTTCACTCTTACTTTCTGGCCATTCACTGTGTTTACAAACCCGAACTGGATCCCCTTTTAACAGCATTCTGGGTACGTCTTTCGAGCTTTTCTGAGGTTAACTCTGGAGGTCACCAGTGACCGAAGACGTTGAAGGGGTGCAATCTTCTAATGAGGATTTATTCGACCGAGGGATGGGTACAGCGGCTGACTTTTACTGAACCCACTCCAACAGCAATTGAAGTGTTGACGTGGAAAGTACACCCGTCCGTTCACTTTTTATCAGCTTTCGCAAAAGCAGACCCTAGTGAGCGGTAAACAACATGAGAACTGATTACATAGTAGTAAGGGGAGTTAAATGGTATCTATAGAAATTTGTCACATCTAGACTCACTCAGACAGCTATCACACGCCCGGAAAAACACTGGACGTAAGTTTCATCTTTTCAAGAATCATCAGCGGTGCGTATTCCATCTGACCCTGGTAGGGCTCGAATCCGCAACTCGACTGTTACCGGTCTATGGTTGAGACCACAGCTACGGGGGACGGTAACGACCATCGTGAATAAGTTACTAGATGTGATATAGCGCCGCCCACTATCCACTGACTTGCACATTACTGCCGTGCAGAGGACACGGTAGCCTTCTCTTCGGGTGGGGCATAGAGTTGTCACCTTTCGTCATTTATCTTACATAGGGTTTCGATCGTTCCTTCTCCATTTTCGCACTTCGAAAGAGACATATACCCCGCAAGTCCATAGTTCAATATTTTCTGTCAGTTCATCATTACCACTATCAAAATTAGAACATTAGTAATTTAACCTGTTGCTTGGCTACATGATCCGAGAAATCGAAAAATTTAGATTGGAGAAGGAAGAATCGTTGTAAAATTTAAATTTTCCGAGCAAACCTTTATGGATAACATTGTAGTGAAAAGGGCATGGGTTACCTATACCAATCAACCAATCAATACAACTCTGCTGGCAAGTATGAACCACAAATACCAAGTGTTTAGTTTGTTTAGATAGCCTATGCACAGGGTGTCTAACTCACGACTGTGACGACACCGAAACGCTAGGCTGACTGGGATTTTATTCGAATCGGTAGCAACATAGAGAAAGGCCAGCGTGATTCGTAGTCGAGGATGGCGCGAATGTGTGCAGAGCTATTCAAACAATCACATGCTGGTGAACACAAACGGACATTTTAGATTCCATGCGTAGGTGGTACAATTACATATGTCGGAAGCATTTTACTAGCACAGATCAAGAGAACGGGGGAATCGTCGCGCCGCTACAAGACGGCCACACCTTACCGAGTACACATCGTCACAAGCGGCTGGATACATTGCTAAGATAATGCAGCCTCAGCGAGATAGATTCCTTGTGGTTTTCGCTGCTGCGCGTCGTATCCGCCTTACTCTTTAGATAAGTCGAAATCAGACACTGATCGTCCAATCCGGCTATGAGCCGACAGCGGATGCGCCACGTATGCAACCTGTGAGCTGTCTTGTAAAGTCACAAGGTGCAAGTCAGAACACATGGACTCCACCCCAGAAGTTGAGGGGCCAACAGCATCTAGTTTAGTGATCGGTGACTTCATTTTCTGTCCTTAAGTCAACTTTTGTGCACTCAAGCCTTTCGCCTTTCAGCACCTGACAAAAAATAGCGCACTAGAGTGGTCATTTTGTGGCATTCGTTATGTGAAAAGAATTCTATTCACATTGAAGTAAACCTCAGTTATTCGGTTATTGGGACTATATCTGAAGCAGATAATTATCAGTCACTGTCCTCTCGTAACACTACACTTCAAGACTTGTTTTGAAATATTTTTCGCTTTTGCTAAGTAAGGATAGCGTGGCTGTGACTCGAACTCGGGACTTTGCAATATCAACCGAAGCTCCTCAAGCCACCTTGTCACGGCCAGCGACGCCTGTCGCCGTGCGTAGTGACTCATTGGGAGGAGTCATATAAAGGCACTAGCTGCGTCGTGACGCACAATCTTAATTGGGACCGGGATTCACTTTGAAGTGAACACAGGTCAGTTCGATCACTGGAAACGTGTTTGCGGCGGCCAACTGCTAGTTGTTGCTTGCTCGCGTGATTTCGCTTCACTGTTGGTTTTGCATTTGTTTGCACTCGCTGATTATGAATGACAGGAATGTAGAGAATTGGTATAGGTAACGTGCCCAAGCCGGCGCAACTTATTCACTCTTGTGTGCTGCTCTAAAGAACTAACCTGATGATCACCTGCTCGAATTAGTGTTGCGGACACACTAGTCCCACCAGACACCAAAAATGCTTCGTAGACAGCGATGGTCAAAAGCTTGAATTCGCCTCAGATTCTCAGAATCACCACCTTGTCTCATATTGACAAACTGCATAGCCCTCTATTGCTCATGTGAACGAGACCTGTCAGACTGCGGAAGATCTTTTGACGTCCCGGATATCGCAGGATCAGATATTTAGCTATAAATCTGTATTTGACAGTTCATTTACGTGATCCAGTGCTGTGACTTAATGCAAATTGCCAACGCAAGATAACTGTCCCGGCGGAATTCGAAGACAATGGCTCGGAGAAATACTTGGATGGACCGGACGAAATTACACTCAATAGATTGATGTGTGTTCATTTGGTGCTGGCTCTAACGAAGGCCGCGCACTTTAAAGCATCATACACGTCGAGTCCCACGAATATCGAGAACGCACGGATCCGCTACCTTGAAACGTGTGAAACCCATGGGCGCCAAGCTCTGTGCAGTACAATGGCCTTAAATTCACCTGCACTGTTTAGGGATGGTGATGAGGTCCTATGCAAAGCACTGACCTCCCTATTCGAACAGCTCTGGAAGGCAAGGACCATCCCAGCTAACGAGTGAATCATTAATAGCGGTGATCTACAAGAAGCGCAGTCGCACCTACTATGCTAACCACAGGGGTATTAGCCTAACGCCGGTGACACCAAAATTACTGGTCTCAATTCTCGTTCGTCGCCTCACTGCAGCATGAGAATCTCGGCGTAGGGAAGTGCAGGCAAGTTTCCGCCCTGGACGTAGCTGTAGCTGTAGCTGCTGCGGCAGGTGCTAGAACTGCGCCACTCATACCGCAGACCGACAATAGTTGTGTTCCTGGACTTTTAATGGGCGTTCGATTCACTCGATCGATGCATTCTGTTCGAAATACTTGCGCAGAAAGGTGTTCTCACGAAATATGTGAACATCTTGCGTGCTTTATACTCGAACACCAGGCCGCGTCAGGGTCTACGGTGACCTTGTCGGACATTTTTCCGACAACAAGTGACATTTGTCAGTGTTGTCTGATTTCACCGTTTTTGTTAACTTTGGTCGTGGACTCTATCATAGGGCGTTCCTTGCGAGGTCGCATGATGCAAGCGCTGAAGTGCTTCCTGGTGAAAAGCTAGTTGACCTTGAATTCTTGGAAGATGCTTTGAACCGATCGAGTAGTCATGAGTTCCAGAGGTTTTAAAAAGTCGGTTGGTGTGGTTATTTGTTAACGTTTCAGTCTTGACACAGGAGTTTCGTCAAACAGGTGAATTAATGTGCAATTGGTGTGGGATTTTATAGCGCACCAGGGTGTCATTACAGTCACAATTCTCGATATCACCTCAGGTAGTTCAAACACAGTGGAAATAGTCCGGGTGTTCTTTTGTGCTTCATGGCATTGACTGATAAGCCCATAGTGTTGACAATGGGAGTCGGTTTACACTTTCCACTCTGATCTGTTTCCAAATCTCTCTGAACTCATGGTGACTCGATCCGTTCGAGGTATCTTCCAAGCATTCGAAACCAAGTACGGACCCCGTGTTCAAAAACTGTCAAGTCTAGTCGTTCGATTGGCGGGTCTTGAGGCGAACTGGGAGAATCATCGCGTTTTCAACATGAGATGTCTTTAGGCTAACCTGATCCCCAAATGTCCCACAATGAAACCTCTGGACGGTACGTAGACATCTGCAAGCATTGCATTTAATGCCTCCAAGGTTTTTCTGAGCCAGCGAACTTACCTAGTGACCAAGCGTTCAAGCGAAATCCGCATCGACGCGAGTCGGCTGAGCCTGGATCTTCAGACCGTCATTACGCACCTCGAATTTTCAGTAAGGCTTCAGACGTCAAATTGGAACAAGGGCAGGATTCAAAAAAGTCAAATGCGTAAGTTCGAGCGTTTGATGTCTGTGCATCCTAATGCTACCGCTGCTACTGACAGGTAGCTATTGGTAGCTATTGTAATGTAGTCAGTATGTCAGTTAGGGTTTTGAATGAAACCGAATGTAGATTGTTGGAGAAGGGTTTGAAATTTACCATCAATAAATCTAAGATATATGCGGAAGAGATTATCCCAAGCGTTGAGAGCG